CAGATGGCGCGGCTTCCCTGCGGGCCCCCGCCGGGTCCCGTGAGGGCACCACGGGCGGAGCCGTGCCGGCGGAGCTCGAGACAGCGCCGGTGCTGGCCTGTCTCGGTAGGGTGACCTCCTCTGAGCACGGCCGTCCCTCCGCCCCCGCTCGGGGCCCGCAGCCAAACCCGTCCCACGGCAAGCTCGCTCCCTGTCTGACGTCTCGGGCAGCCCTCCGCAGAGGGTGGTGCTCCCGTCCACCTCCTCCTGCCTTTCCCCCTTCCTAGGTACGTCTCCAAGTGGAAATACGAACTGCCCGGAGTAGTGCGGCATCTCCAGGGTCTCTCGCCTTATACTCAGTGCGACCTTACCCTAAACATTTAGGATCGAGGTATTTCCCAAACCTGTGCCCGTGCCCTGGTTTCTGGTGCCACCCTGTGGTCCAGCGAAATGCAGGCCCTCGGGTCTTCAATAAGGCTGAATAACGATGGAGTTGTCGAGATAGAACTGAGGTGTGTGTAGGTAAATCATTCCCGAGTGTGTTCCCAGTAGATCGAGATGGGAGTCAGGCTCTTCTCCCAGGGAACAAGTGACAGGATGAGAAGAAATGGCTTCCAATTGTGCCACGAGAAGTTCAGATTGGATACTGGGGAAAAATTCTTTATTGAAAGAGTGGTCAGACATTGGAACCTGCTGCCCAGGACAGTGGTGGAGTCACTGCTATTGGAAGAGTTCAAAAGGCATGTGGATGTGGCACTTGGGGACATGGTTTAGTGAACACAATGGAGATGGGTTAATGAAGGCCTAAGAGGGATTTTCCGACTGTAATTTTTCTATAATTAGAAACGAAGGAGCACTGAATAGATCATATGGGTGGGTGAAAGCCTCAGGTGGGGCTGGTCAGGGCCACTAAGATATGGACTTCAGAAGTACCTCCCAAAAGTCTTCACACCTGGAATTGGCAGATTCTCCTTATACAGCACCTCCTGGTGCCCTTGAACAAAACTTGAAGCAGCAGTTCAGGCAGACCACACCAGCTGTATTGACTGTGCCTCCCTACGAGGACCGGGATTTTCTTTGAGATCCCTCTTCAGATACGATCTGAAGTGAAGTAAGTGATTGCTGGATACAAGCCAGCCCCTGAACATGCTGGCTGAGATGGCCCTGTGGTGGACCTGAGCATACCCATAGAGACCTGAATGGCCCTGACCAGCCTCACCTGAGAGCCCCATCCCACCCTCTCGAAGTCCCCTTCCCACTCAGCCCAGTGCCCTTCTCCCTGCCTCACTTACAGGAAGGTGCCTGTCTCCAGCTGTGCCTTCTCAGCTTTGCTCTGGGTGGACCTTGTTTGTCAAGTAGCTTGTCCCTTAGGCAGCACCTTACAATGTGTATTACATGCCACCAACCTTATTCTAATTGAACAATTAATTTTTAATTACATCTTTTAAAGTTTTGTTCCATATAGATACTTTTTCATATAAAAGCTATTAAAGAGTAACATGCCAAGTACTGTCTGCCCCTTCTTACACAAGACCAAGCATTGTTCTAGCTCTTCATAACACCTTTGAGCTTGCCTGGGCTACCAAGAGCTAGAGAGGAAGGAAGAAGGGTAAGTGTGGACTTGTGCAGGCACTATAAACAGAAAAATCAATACTTCTGCTTACATTTTTGGGTATAATGTAAACTAGATGAGCTGTTGAACAGAGGTAGAAAGAGATGAATTTCCTGCCACATGACTGTAAATCATTGCACTGGCTCTCCCACCCAGGAAGCTGCTTTTAGGCTGTCTGGTGTGGCTGGTCCCCACAGTCCTTGCTGTTGTCTACATGGATTAGATGCTGGAGCATATCCAGAGAAGGGAAACAGCTGGAAAAGGGTTTGCAGCATAAGATCCTGAGGAGTGGCTAAGGGAGCTGTAAAGAGTTAGCCTGGAAAAAAGGAGGTTCAGGTAAGACTGCAAGTCTCTGACAGGAGGGCGGAGCCAGGCTCTTCTCTCTGACAATACATGACGGTATAAGAGAAAATGGCCTCAAGTTTCTACCAAGGGAGGATTAGATTGGAAATCAGGGAAAATTTCTTCACTAAAAGGGTAGTCAGGCATTGAAACAGGCTACCCAGGGCAGTGCTGGAGTAACCACTCCTGGATGTGTTCAAAATATGTGTGGATGTAGCAGTTGGGTGTTAAGGAAACTTTCCAGTCTGACCATTCCCAAGACTCTCTTGCAGTCACCCTTCCACCACCAGCAACTTTTTACTGCTGGGACTGAAGACCCTTTGCAGTAGTAGCTCCAGTGAGCCAAGGAGTGCCCTGCTTGACTCTCTGCACTTCCCACTCTCACAGGCAGACCAGCTTTCCTCACCAGTTCGACCCCTGGTTTTCCATGGGAGTCTCACATGTCTTGTTCCACAAAGCCCTTTGTTCCTGGCACAGTAACACAGAAAAAGTTTGAGCTGGTGCCTCCAAGGAGCATCCCGAACAAAAGACTCCTGGGCTTTTATCCCCTCACAGTCCAAGCTCATGCAAGTCTTGGCTCTTCCTCCCTAGCCCTCAGCTCTTGCAGTGTCTGAGCACCTGGCTGGGCCACAGGTCCAGTGCCCTTTGTTATGCACAGGGTCAGCTGTTTGAGCTTAATCTACAGCTGCCACTGCAGTTGCACCACCAGCTGCTGCCCTAAATGGATTCCTTGACAGGGGGATAGGGTTCAGAGGTGGCCCAGGCAATGCTGCCTTAATGACTGGACTTGATTGTGTCAGAGGGCCTTTCCAACCTTAGTGATTCTGTGATAATTCCGTGATTATTTCATCTGTGCCCATGCTGCAGAACAGCAGTACAGGACCCTACAAAAGACAGCAGCATTTGCTCTAACTAGCACCACTTCCTCCCCATGTGTTTTTGACTGACCTGTGTATTTTTTTTTTTTTTTCTGCAGTTCTCCCAGAAAGTGTTCGTTTCTATTTTTCTGTAGGAAGACACTGAAGAAAAGTGGTGCTGTTGGCAATGATGTGCAGAACTATACACTGAGGTGTTGAGCATCCAATGTAGCAATAACCACCATGTGAGCATGGGTGAAGGCTGGGAATCAGATGGCTCTCTGGTGTACATGCTGTGAGGGCTGGGGTTCCTCAGTGCTTTTGGAGCTATTCAGTTGAGCCAAGTGTCCTCAGTGTGGCTCTGGGCCAAGGCTCATCCAAGTGGATGGAGCTGCTGAGGCCCTGGATGGGCCAGCTGACTATACTGATACTGAAATTGTCTGGATAGAAACTGTGTAACACAGTTTTGAGTATTAGAAGCAGGCATTCTTTATTGTAGCATGCTGGTCTCTTGGGGGGATCCTTCTTCCAGTTTGAAGAGTGTTGGGTGAACAGGGATTTTAACATGCACACTGATTACATATTCATTAGCTCTTCCCACTTCCTTGGCTTTATTTTACATGGTTGTACACCTTATCAGAAGTCCTGTAGTAGTTTTAATTTGCCAGTTTCGTTTCCTGGCCAATGCACCAAATTAATGTCGTGGTTTTAAAGCAGTAACTAAAAAATCACTAGAAAACTTAATTATTTCTTGCTGTGAGATATGGATTAGAGATATGAGATAAGGATTAGAACAAGAGCAAAACAGGCTTAAAACTTAAAAGGAACAAAGAAAGTTTATTAACAAAAACAACAATAATAAGAAATCAGACTAAAACCTCCAGAAACCCTTTCCCCCCCCCAACTACCCAACCATTCCCTTATTCATAGGACAACATAGAGACAAAAAAAAACTTTAGTGGTTGAAACAGTCCCAATTTTTGCTATAGTCCTTTCATCAGTCTTTGTAGAGAAAAATAAGTCTTCTTCTATTAATCTACGGAGTTTTTCACAAGAAAACTATTTCTTTTATAGCTTTCTATTTCTCTGATGTCAGCTGCCCAGAAATTCTGCCATCAGTTCACTTCTCCCATTTCACATCACTCTGAGGTGTGTTATGGGTCAAATGAGTCTAGGGATGTCATTTTTAAGGATGAGTTATTCAAAGGCAAAAGTTCTCTTCATCTGTTTTTGTGAGCCTCTCTGAAAACAGAAGTTTTCTCTTTGCCTCTTAAAGGCCACAAATCTTCAATTATTACTTCCCCATCCTGTTCCAGCATCTCACAGGATCACAACCACTTCACCATTTGCTCAAAATCCACATTTTGAAACACTCCATTCCTCCCAATATAGTCTGTCATGAATTAAAGGAGGTTTTTTTTTTCAGAACACCACTGTCCACCTACACAGCTTTAACAGAAAAATATTTCAGCTTATTAAAGCATCTCCTTATTTTCTCTTCCCCCTCTAAAACTTAATTCTTTTCTTCACTGTCTTTGATGGTTTTATGGTGTCCCCTTACATGTTGATCACTCCTTCTCTCTCTTCCCCTCTCTCTGGGAAAAAAAAGATTAATCTGCAAGTCTCATCCAGGTAGTAAAAGAGTTAAAGTCTTGCTCAAGCTGCAGATGTCCATGGTGTCAGGTTTCAGTTCAGTGTCAGAAACTGCAACTGAGCCAGGAACGGGCCTGGCCTGGCCGGTCCCGCTTTTCCCCTGCCACCATCGGTGGCCTTGTCCAGCCTGGTCGGCGGGGGAGGAGGCTGAGCTGGAGCCCCGTTACCTCTTCAGAAGCCAGAAACCAAAGAGAGCCAAAAATTCCTGGGCTTACATCTTAAAGTGGTGTTAACAGGTTGATCTCACTTTTCAATGTTCAAAACCACTGTCAGTTCTCAGAAATGGCCAGTTATTGGCCAGGAGAAAAACTCTCATCAGCCTCCAGCAGTTTCAACTTCCCTAGCTCTCAAAGCCAGCCTTAAAGGTGCAGAATATATATATAAAGCAGGTGATTGGGAATACCAGTATCATAAAGGCATCCCAGGACAAGTCCTCACATGGTTCTTTGGGGTCCATCTTCAACTTCTGGTGTCCATTTTAGGTGGGTGTTCCTCGACCCCTGCTTTTGAGTAAACACAATATCATTTTGCATAACTTCTGTTTTGTCAGTCTTGAAGGCAGCCAGCCTGAGCTGGCATCCTGCTTGCAATTGTTGCCTGCTTGACTTCTGTTTGCCTCATTTACATTCTTTATTTGTTTCTCCAAAGCTGTGCTGTTGTGTTTTTACTATCCTTGATAAAAGTATATGCTGTTCTGTTCTACAGCCCTTATCAACATCAGGAGAGCACAGGTGTCTGTTCATTTCTGAACAAGCAAGATATAGCTGTAAAAGTTCTTATGTCAGCCTAGATCCTTCACAAAGCTTTGGCTGAACATTCTTTCTTGTCAAAACAGACACGTGTACGGTTTACATGAGTTGATCTAGGAGATCAGTAGCAGTGAAGCAACTACTCCCTCCATTCGTATCTGTAGTTCAAAATACTAAGACAGAATTGAAACAATATTGTATTTTAATTAAATGATTTTACAAGATTTATAGAAAAATTAATTGTTCACTACAAAGTAATAAAACTGTCTTAAGCCGACATAACCCATCACTTGCACAATGTGAAAATTTAGTGTAGCTAAACAGAGTGTTTGTATTCAGAGGAAAGCTGGATTTGGAAAATAACAACTAGAATTGTCTGTCTCTGCCAGCCTCTCTTCTAACTAATCCAAGTCAGATTTTCCAAAACACTATTGGTTTTTGTGGCAATCAGAGATGTTGGAACATCTCTGCATATTTGCCTTCAGCCCTCTCTGAGGAGAGAGTATCTGCCAAAGATACAGCTTTGACAAAACTGAGTTCCCATGAAAACATCTAACAGGGCTGTAAGGCTGCTGGGATTGGTCTGATTCTACAAGGAGTTTAAAATCTAACCTTTTCCTCTCTGACAGTTCTTGTGACAGCACAGAAAGAAACATATGTGCTGCTTCAGTGCACAATGAAGGGAGCCTATTCTGTTGATTTTCCCACAGGAGACTCATTTGATTGTTGAGGGCTGTCCCAGTTGATGGATTGTTTCCACCAAGCACCAGGAAGGGCCAATAAGGATCAGGTGACAGGCCATGAAGAACCTGGGGCTGGTCCTGAGCAGACACCTCTGCCTTCTGTTGCAGTAGTCATGGAAACAGTGGGGTACAAGCATAACTATGCCATCCCTGCATCCCCAGGCCTCATCACTTGTTCAGATCTACTGGGCCAGTGCGGCTGATTTTCCATGACTTTCCAGTTTCATGCAGAGAGCAAAGCTGCCCCAGCAGCTCCTGGCTGGAGCCTGTACTCCTGCAGGTGCTGCCTGCAGCTCTGCTTTGCTGGGATGGATCTCTCCTGCTGGATCCATTTGTCCAGCATCTCTCCAGGCTACAAAGATGATGACTCCTCACCTTCAGTCACAGCCAGGATATGAAGCAGCATGCTACTCCATCCAGAAAGCTCCCTGCATGCTGTGCATTGGCTCACACCAGCTGCTCAAAGAATTACTGAAAAAGGCTGCTCCTCCCCATAAGACAGAGACTGTAATGCTGAGAGCAGGGGGCAAAGATGTTCTCCACAAACTTCATTGCTTTGTATCTTGACCCATGGTTCACTTGTGTCTTTCTGGGGCTTTCATGGAAGCAGAAGAATTGAAAGGAGCACTCTTGTTTCACTGGCATGCTGAAAACACCTTCCACACCATCACTGTATGTGACAGCCACAGCTGGTCTGTAGCTGCACAGAAAAATTGGCCATAACAGACACCAATTCGACCAGCCTAGCTAATTAGAAATCGAGGTAAACAAATCCCCAGGTATGATAACGATAGGTCGGATTCAAACAGAGGACCCCAGCCAATCCCATTGAATATCATTGGCCAGTGAACTGGGTGGAGCTAAGGCCCCAACCAATCACATATGTAAGCACAGGAAATTTGAAGTCCCTATAAAAGGGGATGCTCAGCAATAAACCTCAGCTGTTGCTGTATGAACTTTGGTGTGTTGTGTTGTCTGAAACTGCAACAACTGCACATCTGTCGTGTTAGCCGTTTACTAAAGACACTTGTGGGGCAGCGCAGCTCACAGTGCAAATAGGGCCAGGCTGAGGCTGGCTGCTTAGTGTTCTCAAGGCAGAGAAGTCCTTGTGTAGGCTGGCTGATTTGTGGTTGAGGGACACAGACCATGTTTGAGGGAACCATACACCTGTCCAGCAGCCAAACACAAAAGGTACTTCTGCTCCTTCACAGTAAAAGTCCATTTCTGCCTAAGCTAGACCCTGCTCCAGACACAGCAGCTGGGAACACTGGTTCTGTGTGTGAAAATAGGAGTAGCTCCCTGACTTTCAGCATAGAAAATAGGTATCAGATTCCTTTTTCCATTACAAATCCATGCTTTCCATTAGGAAGCATCTACCTGTTTAGTAGTTGCTTTCTCTGTGTTCACTTCCTTGTAAGTATTAATAGAAACTGAAGCAATGAAAGCTCAGCATGCCTGAAGGTACATATCCATGTTAGAGATATGCAGTGGAAGCAATGGGAAATGTGGTAATGTGACTGACAGAGTACATTTTTTCATTTATCTTTTTCTGAAAAATTTCTATGTGGGACAATGCCACCAGGGTTACACTAAAAGTGAAGAAAATCTTCACAAGACACTTGTGGTATTTTCAGGATCAGAAGAGCAGGCTGAGGAAGCAGACAAAATATCCAGATTAAAGCTAAACATATAAAAGTATATGTATGTAAATTAATGGTTAAGAATATACATATGTAATTTATGAGATTAATGATATATGACATATGTAATATGTAAAATATTGTGGTGGGTTTAATGCTGGCTAAAATCAACAGTGCACTTATTCATTTCTTGCTGTGAGATATGGATTAGGAGGAGGGCAAAACTGGCTCAAAACTTAAAAGGTATGAAGAAAACTTTAATAACAGAACTAAAAGAATAAGAAGCATCAGAATAAAACCTTCAGAACACTTTTCCTCCCTCTGCCCGACTTATTTTCTTTCCCATCTGACAACGTGGAGACAAAACCTGGGATTTTCAATCTGTTCCACCTCTACAAATAGCCTTCTACCAGTTCTTGTGGGGAGAGGAATTTTCTTTTGCCATGCCATGGATACTTCTGCTCAAAAAACAGCTCTCTTGTAGCCTCTCATTTCCACAAATAGCAGCTGCCTGGGAAAAAAATCTGCAACTGTGAAGCTCCTCCCATTTTCACAACCTTCCCACAGCTGAATTTATGGGGCATGTCAGTTTATGGGTGTGGTGGTTTCACATTGGGGAAGAAGTCAGAAACCACCCACGGAAGTGATTTCTTTGAGAGAAGCTGCTGAGAGCTTCCTCTGTGCCTAGGACAGGCCAATAGCTGGCTAGTTCTGAGAACTGACAGCATTTTGAAGCATTTAGAGAGTAGATCTGCCTCTGTGAATTCCACATTTTAAAAGCCACAAGCCCCGGAACTCTCTCTCTTTGCTTCCAGCCTCAAAAGGTAAGCAGAGCTTTAGTGGGGCCGGCCCTGCTCCCCCGTAGCCTGTGCGGCCTGGGGGGGCCTGGCCGGACCCCAAAGGCTCCCGGGTGGGGGATGGAGGCTGGGGGGTCCCAGCCCAGGCTGGGCCGGACCACGGCTGCTGCCACCTCACCGACACTAAACCCACCCCAGCCTGCACTGACAGCTCCAGGCTGAGACAAGAGCGCCCGCCCCTCCCAGCAGCTGCCGGGCTGAGGGAGGCACCAGCACGGTCTGAAATCAATCATCTTGACTGCTGTGGCTATTGCCTACAACCATCTGCAGGCCTGGCAAGATTTAACCCTTTCAGTGCACAGATGAGGCCTGCAGACCATGATTCTCCCTTCAAGAGAAAAGGACAGAGGATATGTAGAAGACAATGTGAAAACACCTAAGTCAGTAAAGAAAGAGTCAAGCCCCAAACAAAAGGTGAATTCAGTGTTAGGCTGAAAAATTCTTCTAGTAAGGCCATAGAGATGGACAGTGATATGCTAGAATATCTCCTTTAATTCATGAGAGAGTATGGGGGAGATGAAGCATTCAAACTGTAGATGTGAGCAGAGGCATCCATTGATAAAACCAAGCAGATGTTGGAGTAGCTGTGATCCCATGAGAAGCTTGAACAAAGAGAGAGAGATGAGAGTGATGAAGACCCTTTGCCCCCAGGGAGAGAAGAAGAAAACCTTTGAGATGATCACAGAGACAGATGAAGAGAACCTTTAACTTTGAACATCTCACCCTTAAAATAATACCCCACGAGTTCATGGCCCATGGACACACCTCTAGGAGGGCTGTGAAAATGGGAGGAATTTCATGATGCAGAACTTTTCCTGGGCAGCTGCTATTCATGGAAATGAAAAGCCACAGGAAAACTGTTTCTTGTGGAGAAGTCTCCATAGCACGACAAGAGAAAACTCCTCTCCCTACAAAAACTAGTAAAAAACTACTGTATAGTTGGTACTGATTTAATATCCTAGGTTTTGTCTCTATGCTGTCAGTTGGGAAAATAAAATAAGTTAGGCAGAGAGAAGAAAGGTGTTTCAGAAGTTTTATTCTGATGCTTCTTATTCTTGTAGTCCTGTTAATAAAGTTTCTTTATACCTTTAAAGTTCTAAGCCTGTTTTACCCTCCTCCTAATCCATATCTCACAGCAAAAAGTAAGTGCACTAGTAACTTTAGCCAGCACTAAACTAACCACAATGGGGTACTGTTTTAAAGATGAGCTATTCAAAAGCAAAGGTTCTCTTCATCTATCTCTGTGATTATCTCTGAGAACAGAGGTCTTCTCTCCCTGGGGGCAAAGGGTCTTCATATGTCACTGTTGGACATGAAATGATTCACACAGACGCAGCTCGAAGTGTGGTGAAAAAAGAAGAGTTTATTTGTTCTTTCAGTATTTAGAGGTTTTCGACAACAACCAGGGATTGGATAGTCAGGTTACCACCTTCCCAACCACACTGGCCGTGAGAGATGTCCATCAAAAGACTTATCTTTAATGGAATGTATAAACACCTGTGTTTATAGTTACTTTCCTGGGAAAATGGCTAGAAATCATGAAAACAATATCGAAAGGTCTGATTCTCAGGGCGACATTCATCACTCTCATCTCTCTCTCTGTTCAAACTTTCATGGGATCACAGCTACTTCAACATTTGTTTTGCATGGTTGCCTCTGCTCACATCTACAGTTTGGACACTCCATCCCCCCATACTTTCTCATGAGTTAAAAGGGATATTTATTGTATTGTAGTCCACATCCATGACCTTATCAAAAGAACTTTCAGCCCCAATATTAAGGCATCTCCTCATTGTCCTTCCATCTGGAACTTGACTCCTTTACTGACCTTGGTATCTTCATGTTGTCTTCTATGTGTCTTCACTCTGTCCTTTTCTCTTGAGAGAGGATCAAGGTCGTAGGTCTCATCTGTGCACTGGGAGAGTTAATATCTCTCAGGCCTGCAGATGATCATGATGGTTTCTGCTGGCAGTGGCCGCAGCAGTCACGGTGTTGGATTTCAGGCCACACGGGGCCCCCCTCCCTCTGCCCTGCAGCTGCTGGGGATGGGGTGGAGAGGCTGCCTGGCCCAGCCCGGAGCTACTCCTGGGGCCCAGAGCACCCCAGCTCAGTGTGGGCCGACAGCAGGGGCAAGGCTTAGTGTTAGCAAGATGTTAGCAGCTGTGAACTGGTCCAGTTTCAGCCCGGGCCCAGCAGCCTCCCATCCCCAGCTCGGCCCCACCCAGGGCACGCAGACCATGGTGGAGTGGGGCAGGCCCTGCCAGCGGTCAGTCACCTTTTGAGGATGGAAGCAAGAGAGAAATTTCCCGGGCTTGCCTGTTTTTAAAATGTGGAATTCACAGAGGCAGACCCAGCTTCTAAATGATTTAATAAGGTATCAATTCTCAGAGCTAGCCAGCTATTGTTTTTTTCCAGGCACAGGGGAAGCTCTTTGCAGCTTCTCTCAGGAAAATCATTTCTGTGGGTGGTTTCTTCTCTCGTCACCAAATATCAATTAATGCAAAATCAGCACAAACAGATATCAAACTGATGTAAATGGATTCAGATTTAACTCAGTGCATTCTCCTGGAGACTGAGTAGTTTGGGCTGGAGCTTTAGACTGGAAATATGCTCAATGTTTGTAAAATAATTAGTGAATTAAAACATGAATGACAGAAGACATCCGCTAAGAAAATGCACCATGCAGTGTAATAAGAAAATAATGAAGTGCTTACTAAAAAGAGGTCTACTTTAGATACAATTTTTTGAGACTCAGTCACACCTCAATACTTGTTCTCTACAGGAGAGCCATGTGACAAATATTGTCCCTGATCCAACTGGGCAGGAAACATCCTGAAACATTCTCACAATGTTTCTCACAGGGCTCAGAGCAGGCTCTGAAGCAGGCAGTTGTGTGCAATGGTGTCTTGGGATGAAGCTCCCAGCCCTCTGCCCAGCTGGGTGCCAAATGTGGGTGGGGAGAGTCACACCCCAGGATGAGCATCTGAAGGGTGTGATGAAAAATCTGAGGCCCAAAGTCAAGTTAACCTTCATCTCTGTCTGCTAACTATCTAACAGCACTGAGGTTCATGCCTAGAAAAAATTGGAAAGGTTTTTGGGAAGACATGAAGCCTTTGCAGTGCTGTTTACTCCAAAACAGCTTCAGGCTATTAATTGGCTGAGATTTTTCTTTATGTGGAATGAGTCAACCAGAAAATCTGTTTCAAACTGAAGTAAGTAGAAGAAATCTTGAGACAAATTGCTCATGAGAAGAAATTGCTTGCACTAGATCATACTCCTGCATTGTAGACTAAACAATCATTAATCATCTACCTGCTTATGCAACCACAAGATAAAATGCCCTTGATAGGACGGGACTGGGACATGGCAAATGCCATTCCACTTTTCAAAAGGGATTTGAGGAACCACTGAGTTTACTGTCTTTATTAGGCAAACATATGGAAAGTATTCCAGAGAATG